TTCTGTCCTGAGAGGCAGACCACACCTCTGAAGCCTGGACCTGCAGACAATTAGCACTGGCTAATGTGGTTCCATCCTGAAATCCCACCTTGACATGAGACCATTAATGCCTGAAAACATCCCTGAAATACATTTTAATCCAACTCATGTCCACACTTAATTAATTTTAACATTTTAAATTTTCATTGGTCAAGAAAAGAACTGTAGCAAAATAGATTCATACCCAAATAGCAAAATTTAACACTTTCTTTTAAATTATTCAGTTATGCCAGGAAATGGACAGCCCCTTGTATAGGGACAGGGAAAGAAATTCCATTCTAATTGAGCCCTGTTGGTAAAAGTCCTCTTTTATATGAACATCCCATTTTCCTATTCTTTTCCCTTGATTTTACCCTCAAGATGACAGAAAGTCCATTTTGACAAAATATATGACATATCGGCTGGGCCTGCACTTCCTCATAGGGACAAGGCAGAAGAAAATTAAAATGTAAAGTCCCTAGAGAGGTGTTTTGTTTTTGTTTTTGTTTGTTTGTTTGTTTTAGCATAAAAAGCAGACATTTTTAAATGCATGAAATGCCACAATCCCTTCCCCCAACTCTTGCAACACAATAAAGTGTCTTATTTTCTATTTTTGAAAAGGTAAAAAAACAGTAAGAGAACCTAAAACAGATTATTTACCATGCTTCTGAATTTCTGTTTTCATGGGCACTCAAATTAGGCAAATTATGTTGACAAGAGAAACTGTGATATAACGGTAGAAAGAAGTGAAATCTTGTGAAACACAGATTCCTGACTACTGAGGATCACAGTGGATTAAATTGAATGATTTCCACTCTGGTTCCTAAGAATGGAAGCCTTGAAAGCAAACGTCTAGAATCAATTAACCAGATTTGCCCATTAACTTAACTGAATTTCAACACTGATTTAATGCCCATATTTGAATTAACAGGCAGAAAATGAAAAGTGGATTACTATATGGTGGTTCACCACAATGAAAAGAACACTTCAATCTGCCCGACTTACAATGCCATTGATAAACATCAAACAAAGCCAAGGCTTTAAACACGAGGGAATAGCATTCACTTTAAAAGCTCTTTATACATTGGTCTGGGAGAGAATTAACGCAGAAAATATAACTCACGCTACTTGCAACACACCAAGTCAAAAAATATCCAAAGAAAAGATTATCTACCAGCAGAGGTAAACCATCATCATTGACACATAATAAGACCAAGATCAACCAAAGAACTCATGGCAAACATC